CAAGCTGACCTGTAGGTCCATCTGGATTCCCATACTTCTCCCAATTTTCGCGAGATTCTTCGTCAGTAAGAGCTTGGTAAGCCTTCGCAATTTTATCAAACATCTGTGCGTCTCCTCCACGATCAGGATGCATTTTTTTAGAGAGTTCGCGATATGCTTTCCTTACGGCAGCTGTATCAGCACCCTGAGGACGAAGTTGGCAAAAAAGAAATAGACCCAAGAATTGAGCTTATGAGAAAAAGAAGATACTTGATCTAAGCCCAGTATTTGGTATGGATTGTATTCCTGGTATGTAACTTCAATCTCCGTGACTTTCTTAACGATCAATGCAAAAACAATCCAGGCAGTGATTAGTAACTAAATGTTAATTTACGGAATGGGGGTGTTAGATTTAGAAAGGATCACTTACAACAACTGTTAGTATACTTTTCGTACGTTTCCAAGGTTTATTAGCCGCCTTCAATTGTCGTTTCTGACTGCATCCTGCGCATTGACATTCACGTTCGTCAACTTCCACGACTTCTGAAGAACTAGTTTGGATAAGATAAAATATCCTATAAATTCTTAATATTTCTTCTTCTGAAAAAGTCGCTAAAATTGAAAATACATGTTACCTGCTTTTCCCGTAGGGAAAAAAAAGTAGGTTACCGGAATAAGAATAATAGCGTAGAAGGAGACAAGGACGTAATAAAATGTGTTACCCACTTCATCGTATTCGAAAGAAGCCCGCCCCATAGCCTTAAAATCATTTCGAATTAACAATAATAATAGGTAGCAATGAGCATAACCTCACAGTGCACGCCTGCGATCAGCGGAGGTAAGTGATTGAAAATTAGTATTTATTTAATGTCCTATGGCACGTCTACAGAGATGGCGTTAGACAAATGCAGACAAAGCAAGCGAGCTACAGCAAGTCCAGTGCAATTCGGGCTTCGGATGAACTGGACTTTCTTGAAGCGTAAATTTCTGTTTGGGGATAAGAGTGAACAAATAAGCAATCTCGCAAGCTAAAAAACAAAAGTATCTGAGATATAACGCACAGAACAAGTTGGATGCGATGACATCGATGCGGAGCAGTTCAAGCAGGCAAATCTTCCTGGGACCACAATCAAAAGCTGATTAGAATCCGACCAGCGTCTTCTCATCAGACTACTCCTTTACGTCACCAATTCTAGAACACTTTTCAGTTTTGTTTTCGTGTTTCCTATTGTTACATAGGCAGCTATATCGAAGCAATCTTCTTTTT